TTCATTGATAAAATCATATTCATCCGCGTAATTTGTGATTGTGCATTTATTGACAATTCTATAAGCCAACGCTATTGTTTAACTTTAAATGCGTTGTAATTTGTTGGATACTTGTAACAAAATAAAATATTTCTTTCTTTTAAATCGCTAGTTTTAAGCTGTTTTGAGAACTACTTGTTGTTAGGTTTGTCGTAAACTTCTGTGTCAGAGATTGAATGTCCGCTTTGTATTTAGTTATTTTCGATCAGAAAATACAATAAAACAATATTAGAAATCTTCGACCATTCGGGAATTACTTTGCTTGAAAATTGATGCGCCTGTCTTTGACCATCTTTACGCAGTGATCTCCCCTGAATTTTTCGGCTTTAGTGTACATACAAAAGGGAAGTAACCGCTTCAAAAAAGTGGACTACTTTCGGCATTTGCAATTAACAACATTAGACTCTGAAATTTCGCTACCATTATTTGTTTGGTCTGACGACCCAAACAAATAAAAACTGTTGACATTGTTCAGTAAACTATGTTAATAGCACCAGCGATGTCAATAGCAGTAAAAAACTGTTGACACAGTCTGCAAAATAACTTTTTTTAGATCAATGGCCATATGGGCCTTCAACCAAGACAGTAGTATAGGCCCAGATAGAATATCATAGGCCCAAAACATTTATTGTGCAAAATAAAGACAACAGTGGGGGAATGGGGGTCTCCCCCAGAAAATTTTGAAAAATTAGATGTTAAATCGTGGGCTCTGGCATGTCTTGAGCATTTTCAAGGAATTTTTTCCATAAATTGATAAACATATAGCTGCTGGTTTTACTTTTTAACTTATTTCATTATAACTTCGAACAGATTTGTGAAGAAAAAAGGCAGCGTACGCCTTGTAGATTTCTTATTTTGCACGTGCATATAAACATACACAACAATTTTTCCATGTGAAGTTTGATTAAGGATGCAGATCATGAAATTGGTTTATGTATGAATGCCCGTTCAATTGTAAAACGCAATTAACCAGATAACAAGTTTTTAGCTCACCTGTCACAAAGTGACAGGGTGAGCTTTTGTGATCGCTTTTCGTTCGGCGTTCGTCGTCCGTCCGTTGTCCGTAAACTTTTACTTTAAATGACATCTCCTCATAAACCACAAAGCCAATTTCATCCAAACTTCACAGGAATGTTCCTTTGGTGGTCACCTTTAAAAATTGTTCAAAGAATTTAATTCCATGCAGATCTCTGGTTGCCATGGCAACCTAAAGAAAAAACTTAAAATATCTTCTTCTAAAAAACCCAAAGAGCTAGAGCTTAGATTTTTGGCATGAAACATCTTCTGGTGAGTGTCTACCAAGTTTGTTCAAATAAAAGCCCTTGGGTCAGAATTGGCCCCGCCCCAGGGGGTTATTGATTTTCCCTATATGCATATAGTAAAAACTTAAAAAATCTTCTTTTAAAGAACCTAAAGAGCTAGAGCTTAGATATTAAGCATGAAACATCTTCTAATGGGTGTCTAGCAAGTTTGTTCAAATAAAAGCCCTAGGGTCAAAATTGGCCCTGCCCCAGGGGGTCATTGATTTTCCCTATATGCATATAGTAAAAACTTAAAATATCTTCTTTTAAAGAACCAAAAGAGCTAGAGCTAAGATATAAATAAATAAATCCCCGGGCTTTAAACTGGCCTTGCTCCGGGGGCCTATGTACAGGTGAGCGACTTCAGGGCCATCATGGCCCTCTTGTTTAGCATTTCTCATCAAATCAGGTTTGTAAGAACGGCTTTTCTCTTAAGCCTTCAGTCTTACTTATCCAAGTGTATGTATTATTTCCAAATTACCAGATACAAGGAGATAGTAAATGGTCTAATTAATGATCATTGAAGCTGTTTCGACCACTCCATAGGTCTCCTCAGGCGGTGATGAGAAAGTAACGGACTTACTCATAGATATATTTTGTTGCCCACAAAAAAAATATGGCCTCAATGATGGCTGCTAACGCCTCCCTGTTTTTTTTGTACTTTCTGCCGATAGGCCGTTGATCCGAACTTGACCACATTCTGCTCTTCCTTCCAGATGCGTACAAAGTGGTCGGCTCTTGTGATGGAATTCATGTGTTCTTTTGAGTGTGTTTGCTCATCAACGACTTTTCTTGCGTTGCTCCGGTCAATCAACGGACGAGCAACAAGCACATTTTCAGCCAGCCGCATTAAAAGCAAAACATAGAGCACAAAATACCCCATCAAGTAAAGGGCTGCCTGTTCCTTTAAGTAGGGGTGCTTTTCTTGCTCAAACACAAAGTCCGGCACTCACCTACTTGTGGCCTTTTTTCGATTTCTCTGAGAGGTGCAACCAAACCTGTATGTGGCTCGAACCGTGTGGTGAGGACAACATTTTTTTTTAGAATCTGGCATTCTTAGTCAGCTTTTTATTTCAATACTTCTGATAACCAGGAATTGTGCTCCAAGGTAGTTTCTAGCGGTTCTCGAGGGGAGAAGAAGCAGGGGGAGACAAAGAGGAGGAGATGGATGGAGAAGAAGAAGGGAGAGAAGGAGACACGACATTGGTGTCTGATTTGCTGATTACAGGAGGGTCACATGCCAGGTCTTGTGAATTCTATTTTGTTTCTGCCTGATCAGATTCATTCTCGACTTGAATGGGGTCCTGTTTTTGGACCATAAACAGGGCCGCTTGTCCTGGAATTTGGTGGATGTTTCTTTACATTTTGACATCTAACACGCACCAAAATTAAATTTTGCCCCGAGTTGATGATTTTTAAAATCTTGATCTAGAACTTAAAAGATTTAAAGTCGTTTTAAAATAGAGCTCTTCCAAAGGAAACTATTTACAAAGGATTGGTCTAAATCTTTAAGAAAAGTCTTAATAATCTTTATTTTCTGAGAATTTAACCACCGATAAGTTATTATGAGCCAAGTTTGTAGATAAATTATATGAGCTTTTCATTTATCTCTGTGCAATAAGTTTGTAAATGCTTCGAGTTAACGAGAAACTTAAATTCCTATTGCACATATATTACGATAATTAATAGAAACGTCATACGATAGAGTGACGCAATCATAGCTTAATACACTAGTAAACAGTATGACGCAAGGAAATATTTTGTAAACAGAAATGGAGCGATAAAATCATTAAAACTTAGATTTTCTGAACTTTATTTTTTTACCTTCGGAATTTTTTTATACGCAATTGCATATTGTGCATAATGGGCATTACGCTCTTGATTATAATCGAGCATTGCCCTAATATTTACACTAACCAATAGCTGTAAATGATAATATAGATTATGCATAAATGATTGACATACATGCATTACGCAAATCTTACAAGTCTTGAAGTACACAATTATACTGATGATGTACTACACAATTATTTCAGAAAAATATTGAAACTAATTTTATATGAAAACACATTCTGAATTCAAAGGTCCATCGGGCTTATAATCTTCAGAATTTTGCACGCCCGAATTGAATTTTACAAGCCTCGGGCATCGGGCCTGTGCCTTATTTCGCAGACTGTTGACAGTAAAAATAAGCTGACTATATTGTATTTACTGATTATATGCCTTTAATGAACAGTAAAGTAGACTTCAGTAATCAAAGGGACAAAGTTCATAATAAAATAATTCAAGTACTTCCTGCTATTCAGCTATGATAATTCTGTAAATCTGATTAAATTTTAGGATTAGAAAACATTTCAGACTTTTTATATAATCATAATTAGTTTTTAATTATGGTACAAACAATGAGCTAAAATGTCAATGAACTAAAATGTTCATGATAAAACAGTTCTATTGATAAGGCACATTTGCCTTCCTGGTTTTGTGTATAATTGATTGATTCAAATTGCTTTGTTGTATTGTTTACAAAAGAATTTGAAATAGGAGTGTTTTTGAACCCATACAATATTGAACTTTTATCAATATTTTAAACCCCTTGATAAAAAAATTTTACTTGACTTGCATATTATTATGTTTATATTGATTTTAATATCTAGTCAATTTACGGATAAAACATTTGTTGTTCGTGTGAGTTAAAATAGTCTTCGGAAAAAATGAGAGATCAAAAACTGATTATTGACGCCATTGTCATAAATGGTGCGGAAATATTAAGATCATTATAATTTATGTGCTGGATTTATTCATAAGACGTCGTGGACAATTTTTTAATTGGTATAAACTTTGAAGTTTACTTTGCTTCCATGTTTTTTTTAAGTGGGTCAAAGGTAATTTTGTCTTGCTTTTAAGTTTTTTAAAGGCATGTTTATATATCTTTTAAAATTTACAGGTGTTATCCAGTTGTGTTTTACAGGTAAAATTTGTGTCATTATGAATTATCCCTTAGCCTCATGTGACAGTGTTTGCACATTGGTGCCGTCTGAACACAGTTTGCACTGTTCCATATTCAGTCAGTTAATATTAATGTAAAATTTTCCCTAAATATGATGAATGGTTTTGTCCAGATTGAAGGATGGGCAAGTCCATTTAAGATATTTAGTGTGGTAAAAGTTAAGTATATGTCAGTGTACCACTGTAGTCCTTTACCATAACATTACCAATAAGTTTTACAATGTTTTCAGTTTATTATTATATAAGGTCAAGAAGTTCTAACATCTTTTCTAAAATAAGGTTCATAAAGATATTTAGTAATCAAAATTGCCATTGTTTTAAACCTAAACCCGCTGAATATGTATAATGGATTTGCCCAGCTTTGAATTTGGATCAATCCATTCAAAGACTTAAGGATTTTAATATCAAAATACAAGATTTGACCTACCAACAGTCAGTATAGAGCCTTGCTAGACTGCACGGATGTGCAGGCTGGCCTGGTACTATAATGGAGACATTCAAGGCTTTAATCTCTTGTTAATAGAGGACAGTTCAAAATTGAATTTAGCTTCTTATTAATGGTTGAAATATTGCAAACTTAATTGGATATTCAGATTGTATAGCTAAGTGATGTGCAGAGTTTAATAATTCAGTACAGCTAAGCTGTTAATCATCCGAGGTGTTCCTACTGGAATAAAAAAAATAGGAGGAAAACATAGTAAAGGATCATAAAACAGTGTTGAAAAATATGTAAAACATGTGTTAAACATACAGTCGAAAGTTTATGATCCTTAAATATTTGCCAAGTGAAGGAAAATTAAATACGGTGGAGGGGAATAGACAGATGGAGTGGTTGGAGATTTAACTGGCGGACAGATGTTATTAATATTAGCTAAGATTAGGACGTGCTTTTATTTCTGAATGTCATATGTATTTACAGGTTGGATAAATAATACTGTTGTGTGACATACATAAAGAGTGGGTTGCTGGCGAGGATACACGGACACATGTGCGTGCAATGTGCTGGATTAACTGAAAACTACATATAAAGGTAATTTCATGTTTCTTTAATTAAAAGGTATATATTAGTTAAAAAGTAAAAAAATTGTGACCAAATATCATAAAATTAAATCACATGCATACAAATTTTCACTTTTCCTTAACTTGAATCAAATTTGACAAATATCAATTTTATTGACATTTAAAATTGGCTGTAAAAGATACAAATAACATTTATAATTTAGCTTAAATTTGTGAGCTCCAAGCCATATGGCTTGTACTTTATGACACTGTTTAGCTGAAAAAAATCTGTATTTGGTTTATGTCATATATCTCCTCCATATATTGCTGGTTGAGAAGTTGACAGTAAACTACTGACAGAGAAAAACAGGTTAGTACTGGCACATGATGCACTAATTGTAAAGGTACAGTGTATCTGCAACACCTTAGTCCAACTAATTGTTCTGCGCGACGAGATATTGTGCTATTTTCGTGTCTGGGCAATATCTCACCTCTAAAGCGAGATTCTGCCCCAGAACGAAAATATCTCAGAATCAAGCTTTGGCATGTCAATATATTTTGACTATGCAACACCTCAACCATGGGTTTGCATGTTTGAGCCATTTTGGAGTCATTACTATGTTTGTCAGTTAAAAGAAACACCTGAATGCTTTATTTATAACAATAATTAAACTGTTATGAGATTTTTAATCCAAATGCTAAAACTTTGCACACAACAGGATAGAGCAAGCAGTAGAAAAAGGAGTAATTGAATTTTCCCAACACAGCAAAAGAAAAAAAAATGTTAACAGGGTAGGTGAAAATTGATTGAGGTTATTTGTTGACAGCGGTGGTTAGTGCAAGCTGATGTTGAAAGAACTTCAAGATCTGTGGGTGAATTAAGCAAGTGATAACATTGAAATAAATTACATGTATTGAACTTGGTCTGACTGCATGGGTGTGTAGGCTGGCTGGGCTTTATAGTGGTGGTGGTATAGGCCAGTCATTTTTACCGCTCATTGACGTAATCAGAGGATTCAAGGATACAGGATGTTACACACCTTAAGTCTTAATATAGTATTAAATAGAATTGTGATCAAGTTACATATCACCTGTCATTTGTACAATACATGAAATTATGATGCAACTTTTTATTTCCGGCCCAAAATCATTTTACCCTATAAAGCTTAATATCTTGAAAAGACTTGTAGATCTGTCAATTTGGACAAAACCATTCATCATTTTAAGGGAAAATTACAAAATAAGTACTGACTGAATAGCGAACAGTGCAGACCACGATCAGAATGTTCGGTCTGCAGGGTTACATAGATTCTTTTGCGGCCCACAGACTAAGGGTTTTAAAGAATTCAACAGAGATAGAAGTATAAATATTGCATAGTCGTAAATAATGAAATGCAAACTAAATATGAATTGATAAAAGTGATTTGAATAATTATGTAGATTTGCTTGTAACTTGATATACTTTGGTTTTACGAGGGTTGATCAATATATTCATGGACACTTTTAATAACTTACTTATTAATCAAGATATTATAAAGAATTTTCGCTATTTAGGAGAAGAATTTAATACTATTCAATTATATTGTGATTTTTTTAAAAAAAAATCTCTTTTTGTACATTATATGTATCACCATAGCAACCCTATGCCGTACGAACGCCGCGGCTTAAAAAAGTTATATTTACCATTTTGAAATACTTAAAATTTGTCCTTATTTTGGCGTGCTTCTTTAAAATATGAAAGTGACCGCAACTTTCTTTCATATAGTTTATAGAACATTTAGAAAAAACAAGCGTCGCTACTATTTCTTTTGTTTGTTGGAGATGTTAATGCAGACAGGGGTGTGCCACTAGAGAGGAGCACGACGTTGTTGAAGCAGAGGGCAGTAATTAAGTTCTGTGTAAATCTTGGTATGACGCCAAAGCAGACTAAAGAAAACATGGAAATTGTATCTGGAACAAAAAGTGTCTTATTCGTTAGTTTATAAGTGACACATACACTTCCATGAGGGAAGTGTTGAACTTCAGGATGATAAGAGATGTGGCAGATCAGTTGTTATGCGTACGTTATGCGAGTGAAATTGAAGGCAGAGTTAAAGGGACACAAGTTAACCGGGTTCCTTGATTTACAGTCCATAGCATTGTCTGTGTTGCGTTCATTTGATACTTCATTGTATAAGAACATTTTCAGTCAGTGGGCACACAGGCATGAACGATGTGTAGAAGTTGGTGCTGCATTTTTATGCTCCCCGAAAAAATTTCGGGGGAGCATATAGTCGCCGCCTTGTCCGTCCGTCCGTCCGTCCGTCCGTCCGTCCCCTTTTCTTGTCCGGGACATAACTTTGAAACAACAAGAGGTATCAAACATGAAACTTTGTAGGTAGATAGATCTCATTGAGTAGGTGTGCAGTGCACAAGAACCGTAACTCTGCCTTGCCTAATTTTTGAATTATTCCCCTTTGTTTATTTTTACACTTTGAACTTTGTCCGGGACATAACTCTAAAAGTATAAGAGGTATCAACATGAAACTTTGTAGGTAGATAGATCTCATTGAGTAGAAGTGCAGTGCACAAGAACCATAACTCTGCCTTGCCTAATTTTTGAATTATCCCCCTTTGTTTATTTTACACTTTGAAATTTGTCCGGGACATAACTCTAAAAGTATAAGAGGTATCAACCTGAAACTTTGTAGGTAGATAGATCGATCGCATTGAGTAGAAGTGCAGTGCAAAAGAACCGTAACTCTGTCTTGCCTTATTTTGGACTTGCTGCCTTTTGTTCATTTTACAATTGAACTTTTTCCGGGACATAACTCTAAAAGTATGAGAGGTATCAACATGAAACTTTGTAGGTAGATAGATCTCATTGAGTAGGTGTGCAGTGCACAAGAACCGTAACTCTGCCTTGCCTAATTTTTGAATTATCCCCCTTTGTTTATTTTACACTTTGAAATTTGTCCGGGACATAACTCTAAAAGTATAAGAGGTATCAACATGAAACTTTGTAGGTAGATAGATCTCATTGAGTAGGTGTGCAGTGCACAAGAACCGTAACTCTGCCTTGTCTAATTTTTGAATTATCCCCCTTTGTTTATTTTACACTTTGAACTTTGTCCGGGACATAACTCTAAAAGTATAAGAGGTATCAACATGAAACTTTGTAGGTAGATAGATCTCATTGAGTAGGTGTGCAGTGCACAAGAACCGTAACTCTGCCTTGTCTAATTTTTGAATTATCCCCCTTTGTTTATTTTTACACTTTGAACTTTGTCCGGGACATATTTCTTAATGTATAAGAGATATCAACATGAAACTTTGTAGGTAGATAGATCTCATTGAGTAAGTTTGCAGTGCACAAGAACTGTAACACTGTCTTGCCTACTTTTGTAGTTATTGCCCTTTGTTCATTTTGACACTTTGAACTTTGTCTGGGACATTACTCTAAAATTATAAGAGATATCAACATGAAACTTTGTAGATAGATAGGTCTCATTGGGTGGAAGTGCAGTGCTTAAGAATCATTACTCTGCCTTGCCTTATTTTGAAGTAATTGCCCTTTGTTTATTTTTACTTTTTGACTTTTGTCCTGGACATTACTTTAAAACTATTAGAGATATCAACATGAAACTTTGTAGGTAGCTAGATATAATTGGATAGAACTGCAACGCTTCAAGAACCTAAACAAAGCCTGGTCTAATTTTGGAGTTATTGCCCTTTGTTCATTTTTTTTATACTTTCCTGTGTCCAGAACCTTCTCGGGGAGCATCACCCGGTTCAACCGGTTCTTGTTTGAGAAGATATAACGCTGACGTCACAACGTAACGTAAGTTGTGAATGAGCTGCGGCGATCAGCTTTACATGTATTGCTGAAAACTGTCATTTTGGATAAAATATACGGATTATTTATCTGAAACTTACACATCAAATTGATAAATAATTGAATAAATGTCAAATATAATTATATCAACTTTCCTTCCCCAAAAAACAATTTATGGAGTGTGTCCACGAATTTATTGATCAACCCTCGTATAATTTGCTTGTTTTTGTCACATTTATGTATTTTCCATAATTTAAGCTGTTTAATTTTGACAAGAAATTTGTTTATTTTTATAGAGGAGAGGTACATTTACTAATATTTTCTTATAAAAATGTATTTTAGTAAATACGTCTTTATTTTATCTCATCAAATGATCATGATATCAATTGTTTTCACTGTAATATATCGTAATGTGTTTCTTATTGTACACACAATATAATTAATGCCCCTTGTGGCTGACGTGCTTGCCTTTAATTTGTGGAGGCATAAGAATTGCAGCCACTGTTTATCTGTGCATGATCATAAGAGTTCGAATTATCGGAGTCTTATAATGCATCTCTAAGCTCCAGCAGGTGAGTTGGTTTTGACCCCTTGTGTAGTTTTTAGCTCGACTTTTTTTTTTTGGAAAAAAAAAGTAGAGGTATTGTTATAGTCAGGTCGGCGTTGCCGTTGCCGTCCGCAAACTTGTACCTGGATCATAACTTTTTTATTTCTTGGTGTATTGTCTTCATTCTTGGCCACAACAACCCTTGGGACAAGACCTTTCAGTAGACCACACTAACCTTGACATTCATCCATAAATGACCTTGACCTTCAAGGTTAAAAGTCCAATTTTTGCTTGTTCATGCTGTTATTGGCTGTAACTTTGTTATTTTTGAATGGATTGTCTTCAAACTTGAACATAATAATCTTCAAGGATATCCCTTAAAAATAACCAGCCAGACCTTGACCTTCACTCATAAATGACCTTGACTTTGAAGGTCAAATTATTGAAATTTTCATTTTTTTGGCTTTTATTGGCTGTAACTTTGTTATTCTTGAAACTTGAACATAATAATCTTTAAAGATAACTGTTAAAAATATATTGAAAGTTCTTGACCTTCACTCATTAATGACATTGTCTTTGAAGGTCAAATTATTGAAATTTTCATTGTTTTGGCGGTAACTGACTGTAACTTTGCTATTATTGAAGGGATCAACTTCATATTATAAAAGAA